AATTTAAAAAAAATATATATATATATATATATAGAAAAACATTTGCCATTTCAGCAATTCAGTGACATTAATTACATTCCTGTGGACAGATACTGTATGATCTCGCTTACATAAGATAAGCAAATATATAGAAACCAAAGATTCATAATGGTTACCAGGGGTGAGAGGGACGGGGAAAGGGGAAGTTTTTGCTTAGGGAACATTGAGTTTATGTTAATTGTGGTGGAATAATTAGGAAAAGAAAAATGATTAATAGTTGCCCAACATGGAAAATGTGATCAATGTCACTGAATTATACACGTAGAAATTGTTGAATTGGTGACTGTTCTGTTGTGCGTATTTCACCATAAAAAACAAAGAGAGAGAGTAAGGAAACTTCCCAGAATCCTCCTTCCCACAAACTTCCCCTCACTGGGGAGAATTGCAGCACATGCCCCCCCCCTTTTTTTTTAATTGTTGTAGTTTAAGTGAAAGTTTACAATTCAAGTTAGTCTCTCATACAAAAATTTATACACACATTGTTATGTGACCCTAATTGCTCTCCCTGTACTGTGACAGCACACTCCTCCTTTCCACCCCTGATTCCCCGTGTCCGTTCAACCAGCTCTTGACCCTCTCTGCCTTCTCATCTCACCTCAGGACAGGAGCTGCCCATTTAGTCTCATGTATCTACTTGAGCTAAGAAGAGCACTCTTCACGAGTATCGCTTTATGTCCCACAGTCGGGTCCAATCTTTGTCTGAAGAGTTGGCCTCAGAAATTGTTTTAGTTCTGGGCTAATAGAGAATCTGGGGGCCATGCTTTCCAGGGTTCCTCCAGTCTCAGGCAGACCATTAAGTCTGGTCTTCTTACTAGAATTTGAGCTCTACACCCCACCTTTCTCCTACTCCATCAGGGTCTCTCTGTTGTGTTCCCTGTCAGGGCGGTTATAACATGCCCTTTCTTAAGCCTATCCTAGGCAAGGGGAGTGGAATTCGCATCGTTGCCGGTTTATTGAATGGACTAACTTGTATGCGATACCAGCAGGGAATTACTTTGTTTTTCTCTGACCGCCGTATTCAAACATGTTCTTCCACTGATGACCCTTAGCTCTCTGGCTGTTTGCATTTAGAACACCTCGTTTTGCTTCAGTAGTTAGTACTTATTCTTTGAGATTGAAAGATCCAGTCCAGTCTACATCAAAATTTCCACCCCACATCCATTCTCCAGGATCTTTCCTCCTCTCCCCGTCACCCTCACTTCAGGCTTGATCCTCCATGGGGCCCTGCAGTACAGAAGGGGGCATGGCATGCTCTTTTTTCTCACTTCCTTCCCCTGCTGGCTTTTTTGATGTCATAACAGGGAGTTGGAAGAATTAGAGGAAAAGGGACAAAAGTCTTAAGTCACCAATGCTGGTGTAACTCCACTGCTGGTGTCCTCTGGGTGGCAGATGTCTGCACCCTGGCTATCTCAGGGGCCCATTGGCGGGCTCTCTGGAGGCTCTGTGTGCACCCCACCAGTGCTGTCTCCTGCGGAGGGCAGTTCTCTTTGGCTGACCTCAGGTGAAGCCCCCTCAGCTCCTTCAGGCCACCCACAGCCTCTTACTCTTGGATCCCTTCCCCAAGCGGTCTGCCCTCTTGGATGGAGAATCTCTCAGATGGCTCCAGGCCTGCCTGCCCTCCACAATGTCCACTTGTCCCGGAGGAAATGCACACATCCTTCCCCACCAAACCGGGAAAGCAGGGTCCCTTGTGGCGTCCCTGTCTCCTGCCATGGCAAGCTGGTTTTAGAGTTCTCCAGATGAGGAGCAGGTTACCGGTCTCCACGCTCGCCTTCCCCTCTTGGCTCCTGCTGAGCTCTCCCATGGATCCCCCTCCCCCACCGCAGCCCGGGAGTGGCCCTGAGAAGTTCTGCAGCTGGTCAGGAGTCCAGTCTAGAAATGACGAGCAAGGTTCCCTTTCCCGCAACAGCAGTCTAAAGGGCCCTTTCTTGGAGCGCCTCACTTGACTTGAGGAAGGGAACACCCATCCTTCCCATGGACTCTCCTCCTAGGGCTGCTGACTCCAACAGCCTCTCTCCACTTCCAGAAACTTCATATTTCTGGTCTTCTCATCATGTGGACTGGTTAGGGTCAAGGGGTGGGAGACTAGTTTTGCTCTTTTTGTAAGTCCAGAGAGGATACCTCCAGCTCCCTGGGGCTCTCTTTAGAAGGTAGGGCGTCTAGGTCTCAGTTGTTGTCCTCAGCTTGAGTCTTTGGCTAAAAGACCACGACTACAGGGCACTTCCCTTTCAATGCCCTGTTATACTATGATTGGCTTAGGCAGATACCCGCTGGGGCCAGGGTAGGACAAGATCATTGCCCTTGAACAAAACCCAATTTGTGTTAGCAATGAGGAAGGCTGAAAAAACTGTTGGGTGGCTTCAGACAAGGTTTGCAACACACCTGTATGACTAGGTGGAGACAGCCATGTAAAGAATAGGGGTGGAGTGCTCCTGGCCAGAGAAACAGCTGGGGCAAAGACCTGAGAGGAGGGATCAGCTTGGCATGTTCAAGGAATGGCAAGAAGGCCCGTATGGGTGGATGTGGTGGGTGAAGGGCTGAGTAGCATGAAATCACTTCAGCGGGTAGGCAGGGGCCAGATCCTGAAAGTCTGTAGACCATGATGATAGGGAGGCAGGATTTTATCCCAAGCGTGGTAGGAAGTCACTGGTTCTAAGCAGGGAAGGGACATGACCTGATTTAAGTTTTGACAAGCTCACTCTGGCTGCCGTGGGAAAACTGAAGTATAAGGTGGCAAGAGAGAAAGCAGGGAGACTAGTTAGGAGGCTATCATTCAAGTGAGAGCTGTCAGGGAGTCTACGAGGGGAGTGGAGAAGGAGGGAAGTGTGAGGGATTGGGATTGATTTGCTTTGGCCATCGTTGAGCAAACACATCATCAACAGAGGAATCTTCTAGGTTCCCTAACCAGTTTCTGGTGTTCCTTCAGCCTGGAATGCCGTCTGCTCCTCCTAACAACACTTAACTCATTTTCCAGGCCCAGCTGACACATCATCTCCTTTGTCCAGCCTTCGCAGCCCCACCCCTCCCTGCAGAAATGCCCACTCCTTCCTTGGCTCCCACAGCTCTTTATAAGCACCTCCCTTGTGCACTTAGCACATCACACTGTAGTCATTTGTTGACACATCTGTCTCTCTCCCTGGATTATGAGCTTCTAGGAGCTCACTGTCTCCTTGCAGTGACCACAAGGAGACACATGTGAAACTGCTAGAATACACCAGGTGGTCCATGATTGAAGACTAACATCAGGGGCAGAGACTGTTAGTGCTGTAGACGGCAGAGCTCGGGGGATATTGAGGTGGTCTCTGGCCTCTCCTCTGACTGCTCCAAGCACCAGTGACTGTTCCCAGAATTTTTCTCTTGCTCTCACTGCACACTCAGAACCTAGGATAAGTCTGAACCCAGCGTGGGTCATGAAGCGTTGGCCCCCTTCCCTAACAAACACACACTCTCATATACACACACAAAGTCAACCACCAATCATGACTTCTCAATCTCTAGCCATCTCTCTGTCCCCTGCCAGAGGCTGGCACACAGTTTAACTCTGTAAATGGCTGTTGAATGAATCAATAATGAATGAATGAAAATGGGACTAGAAGGTCTATCAGAGTCACTGTAAATGCAGACAAGGGCAGGATGGTGGTGGTTCCAGAAGGAATGGTGTCAGGTGGGTGCTCTGATAGACATGGTGGGTGAGGGAGCTTCCTCACCCTGCCCTGCCCCCTCCTGGGCTCTCCTGACAGGCTTGGGGGCCGTGGGCTGGGGGACTTCCCCTCACATCCGCTGCGCCAGCCTCCTGATAGTACCCAAGATGCTGGGCAAAGAGGGCAGGCTCTTTGTGCTGGGATACGCCTTGGCTGCCATCTATGAAGGTGAGTGAGTGTCCCCAGGTGCTGGTTAGTGGCATTAAAGAAGGGACCCTGGGTGGGCCATCCCATGGGATCCAGGTCTGGTGAAGGAGAAAGGGTGGGGAGGCAGGAGCCCAGGTTCTAATCCCAGTCACTCCAACTTGCCATATGCCCCTGAGAGAGTTCCTCCCTGTATCTGGGACTCCTTAATTTGCACAGGGGTTGAATGAGATGGCCTCTCACAGGTTTCTCAGCCCCATCATTGTGCAGCTCTAGAAGGTGGTCACTGCAGAGCAGGAGCTGGGGGTGGGTTTGAGAAAGTACTGGCTCCAGGGGAAGGCAACCCACCAGGGCCTCTTCCCCCAGGGCCAGTGGCCAACCTGCGTTACAACCTCAACGAGGTGATAGCATCGCTGGGCTGTACTGTGGAGCTGCAGATCAACAACACCCGAGCGGCCTGGCACACCTCCACAGCCCCCCTGCGGGCAGTGTTCAAGGACCTGCTGGTCAGGACCCCACAAGGGCAGGGCCTGGGGTCCCTCTGCCCCGGAGGGCAAGATGACTTAAGCTGGGGAGCTATGACCCTGGATTTACAGTTTTCCAAGGGGGCATTTTTGCAGGACTGACCCCAAACATCGCAGAAGGTGCCCTGTCCCTGGACATTAAATGCCAGGAGAGCCCCCCAGTCATTGGGACAACCTGAAATTCCCCATACACATTTCCAAACACCTGGGTGGGCAGTATTCTGGGCAGCTGAACTAGAATGTCAGGAAATTGAGGTCCTTGGCCTTGAGAAGTTGCAGGGGAACTTGAAGACCAGGGATTAAGGAATTGAGTATTAGAGGACTGGATATTGGGAGGTTGGGAGAGTTGGGGGAGATGGGGCTGAGGGGCTTGGGCATTGGGGATGTTGAGATGGCATAGGTTTTAGAAATTAGTGATGAGGGGTGAAGTCTAAGGATATGGGGAACCAGTGGCCAGCATGGATCTGGGGTGGGAGACCTGAGGGGGAGCTGGGAGTCTCTGAGATGGCAGAGCAGAAGCATGGGGCATTGGATGAGGCGACTGGAAGGACTATGAACAGTGGGGAGTCTGAAGTATGCTGAAGTATGTGGCTGTGTCTCAGGGCCTAGGCTCCCTGTAGCCTGGGGTAGGAGCCCAAAGCTTGGTTGATGTGGGGAAGACAGGCTGTCAGAATGGAACTTCCAGAACGGAACTGCAGACCTCACCCATCCCTTCCTCACCAACCCCAGAGCAGCAAAGACTCATTGAAAGCCGAGACTCTCAATATCTCCAACTCCTTTGAGGACCTGGATGCCCAGGTGAAGAGTGAGGCTGGCTTCAAGCTAGAGGATGCCATGGACTCAGAGGAGAAAGGCCAGGACGTAGAGACCCGCCAGGCCCCAGCCTCCGGACACCCCCTCTCCACACAGAAGATGTTCGAGCTGAAGACTAAGCTGCGTTGCTCCTGTGAGGGGTGTCCCTGGGTGGGGCAGGGCAGGGCAGGCTAGGCTGTGGGGCTGGGGCTCCAGGTCAGAGTGTGGGGACCTCAGACACCCTGTGGCTCTTCCTGCAGATGTGGTGAACAAGGCTATATTCAGCTGCCAACGCTGGTTTGACCGAAAGCACGAGCAGTGCATGCAACGCATCTGGGTCCCACTCTTCAACCACCTGCTCTGCCTACCCATGAAGTTCAAGTTCCTCTGTAGCATCGCCAAGGGTGGGGAGCGCCAGGGCTGGGGGAGTTGGGTCCTTGGGGACCGTGGGTAGGTGTGTGGCAGGACAGTAGTCAAGCAGAGGGTTTGTGTTCTCTGAAGATACCCTCACCCTCAGAGCCCAGCTTCTTCACTGACTGGTGTGACCCAGAGTCAGTTATGGCAATGCTGTGGGCTTTGTCTCTCCATCTGAAAGATGAGCATAACAGTAGCACTTATCCCATTAGGGGTTTTTGAGGATTTAAGAGGATAATGCACGTGAAGTAGGTAGCAGAGCTGGCACAGAGGAATTGCTCTACAAATGTTGGCTTCCATTGTTAATGTTTGTTATGGTTACGGACAGGTGAAAAAACGGGGGTGGGGGGGGTGGGTGTGGCAGATTAGGCCCTGTTCCTGGAAGGAAGAATCCAAGGACAGTGGAGATGGGAAAGACTCGGTGTGGTAGAAAGTCACAGGTAGA